GAGTAATCCGATATGCAGACTGGGTTGGCCGATTGCCCGAGCCCCCGCCATAATGACTCATACTTGCAGAGTAGAATCCATTGAATCCTCTAGAACCTCGAGACCTCTTGGTCTCCTTAGTTTTCTTTTTTTTTCCTCACACCGAACACGTTCTAATATCTTGGCAATTTCTACCACTAGCTGAAATGAAGTATCAGCCTATAGCACCCGAGTCCTGCAAAATTTTACTATCATAATTGAGTCCTTTAATGAGTCAGTGGACTCGCTCTCTGGCTGTAGGAAGCAAAGTAGGAGTGTGACGGGCTAACTTATTGAACTTGATAGCATATTCTGACACTGTCATGGTGACTTGACGCAACCGTTCAAACCCCATGCGCCACGCATTACGGAGAGTCCGAAAAACAAACTCTTTCAAAAGCATTTCTGAGAACTGAGCCAAGTGGGCGGTGTTGCATTGGCTGGTCTGCCCTCTTCATAGGTTTGCCACGAACACCGGTGGAGAATTATTTCTCCCAAGGCCAATTTCTTCTTTTGTTACGCTGACTCAACACTGCTGAGCTGACCCATTTCATAACATACTCTTCGATTCTTCTTTGGGGTAATCCTTACCCCTATTTATACACAACGATCACAAAAGTAGAGCTCCATACAGACAAATCTTGGCATGAACCACATAGTCCAGAATCTCGTCAACCACTGTACTTCCTCCGAAGCACCCCAAAAATCCGCAACTGTGACGTCCACGTTATGTAGACCTTCTATAAATTTAAAGTTGTTTCTCTAACTCCTTTGGTACTGAAGTATAGGATTATTAAGGAGTCGGACATACCGCAAGTCCCAACCTTATCCTTTACAAAATCTCAGGCCGTAAATATGTGTAAATTTTGGGGAACCTTTCATTATCACATATGTACATTTCAGGCCAAAACTAATATAACATACGACCCCGCAATCCATCCATTGATAGTGGACTCCCCCACTTGGCGTGAAGTTATAGGTCACAACGTCTGATAATCCACAATATTAACCTTCACATCTCGTATAAATCAACCAGATACCAAGGTACGTTGCACCCCTACATGATTCACTGGGTGATCTCTCAATACATCCGCATCTTCAGTCAAAACCACACGTTGAGGCAATATTTGAGCATCTATGGCTTCCTCGTAGTCCATCTGCGGCATCACAAACAGTCGACGCACAACTGATATCGAGTGCGCAATGTCATACACTAGTAGATACAAAGGAATATGAGATATATGTTTCAAGCTAAATCAATACCCTACGATAATGAATGAAAGAAGTGAAATTATTCCTAAACTCTGTAGCTTCTGGAAGATAAATACAGACGTCTCCGTATAGATCCTTCAGACTCTACTAAGCTCGCGCGTGACTCGTGAGACCTAGGTAACCTAGTGCTCTGATATCAACTTGTCACGACTCAAAATTCCCACCTTCGAGACCGTGATGGTGCCTAACATTTCACTTGCTAGGCAAGCCAACGTTAGAATACAATTAGTCATTTTAACACAATTTTAAATTAATTGATAACAAAGAAATAAACGCGAAAATAAAGTCTGAAATAAAGTGAATACTCCATAACACTAGCGATGTCTGAATACCATTCCAGAACTGGTGTCACAAGGCATGAGCTTCTAGAATAATACAAACAAGAGTATGAACAAAATAAAATTGTCTGAAAGAAAGCACACAGCTAAAATATAGTAGAAAGAGACTTCAGAACTGTGAACGTCGTGCAGCTATACCTCAAGTCTCCATTGGTAGCTGAATCCAAGCACAATCTACAGTACGCCGCTAAGACCAACTCCAGAATCTGCACAAGAAGTGCAGAGTGTAGTATGAGTACAACCGACCCCATGTACTCTGTAAGTGCTGAGCCTAACCTCGACGAAGTAGTGACGAGGCTAAGGCAGGTCACTTACATTAACATGTACGCAATAATAGTAATAACAACAATAATAGAAATAAAATAAGTAACTCATTTCAACAGTTGAAGCCAACTCGCAGTCATAACCAACTATTATTTCAATCCATTTCCGTTGCGGCGTGCAACCCGCTCCAACAATATAATTCTTTAATAAATTTCCGTTGCGGCGTGCAACCCATTCCAACAATATAATTCTTCAATAAATTTTCGTTGCTGCGTGCAACCCGCTCCAACAATATAAACTTAAAATATAATCCGTTGCGGCATGTAACCCGATCCCCCAATATATTATTTTTTATTTCCGTTGCAGCGTGCAACCCGCTCCAACCATATAATTAACAACTCTTAAATATAATAAAAAATACTCCAATAAATACCACATTCAGTAAGAAATTATTAGGCAACAATGCACACAATATTTATAAATTATTTAGGAAAAAGTAATGACAAGTATCAATTAATTGTGGAAATCAGGGAGAAAATAGGCAATTTAATTTCTAATATACCAAATGTCAAGTAGGAATTAAGTCACATAAGTCAAATAAACATGTAACAATTATAGCATGGATTCAAGACATAATATTGAGCATGGAATATGAGACAAACAATTAATATAATAATTAATTCATGTCTTAAAATAATTTATGATTTCAAATAATTATGCAAACAATTAATTTGGCGACGTATAGACACTCGTCACCTCGCCTATACGTCGTTCACATGAATTTCATATAACAAATCATTCAAGGGTTCTATTCCCTCAAGTCAAGGTTAACCACGACACTTACCTTACTTCGCAACCAAATTCAAAATTCCAATAAACTCTTGCCTCGCGAATTAGTGTCTGAAAGCCTCAAATCGAATCATAAAAAATTCAATAAACTCAATACAAATCGTAGGAATTAATTTCATATGAATTTATTAATTTTTCGGATTAAAATCCGAAATTCATTTTAAAAATCGGTAGTGGGACCCACGTCTCGAATCCCGGAAAAACTCACAAAATCTGAACACCCGTTCCGATACGAGTTCAACCATACAAAAATTATCGAATTCCGACATCGGATTGACCTTCAAATTTCCTTTTTACATTTTTAGAAGATTTTATAAAAATCTGATTTTTCTTCCATAAATTCACGGATTCATGATATAAATGAGTATGGAATCATGAAATATAATCAATATAGGATAAGAAATACTTAATCCAATGTCTTCCCGTAAAAATTGCCCAAAAATCGTCTTACCCAAGCTCAAAATCGAAAATGGTAGAAAATGGGTCGAAATCCCATTTACAGAACTTAAGTTCTGTTTGTCTAGGTTTTTACCTTATGCGATCGCGAAAATTTCTTCGCGATCGCGTAACATGTCTTTGCCCGGTTCCATTTTACTCTTCGCGATCGCAGATAATTCTTTGCGATCGCGAAGCATATTTTGGCTGCCTAGATTTTTAACTCTACGCGATCGCGTAAATGGTCATGCGATTGTGGAGAATATTTTCTCAGCCTTACGTGATCGTGTACTACCTTGTGCGATCGCGTAGCACAAATGGCGTGCCCAGCTTCTGCCTTCATTCCTTCTACGTGAACGCGGCTTGGCCCTCGCGTTCGCGGTGCTTTGACTGCGGACACTGTGTGATCACGGACGTGACTATGCGATCACATAGTTTAAATTTTCATCAGTGACATTAAGCCTTCGCGATCGCGGATGAAGCCACGCGATCGCATAGAAGGAAATCAAAACTGAGAAATACCAGATTTTCAGCCATCTATTCTTGAACAAAAATGGTCCGAAAATCATTCGAAACTCACCCGAGCCCCTCGGGGTTCCAAATCATATATGCACACCTGTCCAAAAACTTAATACGAACTCGTTCGCGCAATCAAAATATCAAAATAATACCTAGAACTACGAATCGGACACCCAATCAAATGAAATTTTTAAGAAAACTTAGAATTTCTATTTTAATAACTGGACGTCCGAATCACGTCAAACCAGCTCCGTTTCTCACCAAATTTGGCAGACAAGTCATAAATATAGTAATGGAGCTATACCGGATTCCGGAACAAAAATACGGACTCGGTATCAACAAAGTCAAACATTGGTCAATTCTTTAAAGTCATTAAGCCTTAAACTTCAAAATTTTGACAACATGCGATAACTCGAGTTAGGGACCTCCGAATTTGATTCTGGGCATACGCCCAAGTCCTAAATCATGATACAGACCTACAGGAACTGTCAAAACACTGATCCGGGTCCGTTTGCTCAAAATGTTGACCAAAGTCAACCCAATTGAGTTTTAAAGCTTTATTTCACATTTTAATCAATTTTTCACATAAAAACTTTCTAGAAAAATTTACGGACTGCACACGCAAGTCGAGAAAAGCGGAATGGTACTATTTGAGGTCTCAAAACATAGAAATAATTATTAAATTTAAAGATAATCTTTTGGGTCATCTCACAAAACCTCTAAATTTATAGCCAAACAGTCTGGGTTGAATAGGCGCGAAGATACCTGTTCATATGAGGTACCATTTCGGCAGAAGTTTGGACGCGAATTTTAAACTCAAAACGACTATTGGAAACCGCGAATTTTAAATTAAAATTTCGCAAAAAAATATTAGAAAAGAAATTATATAACGGAAAATGGGAAATAAATTTGGTCCAAAGAATTATCAATCAATCATATCAATTGACCGAAGCCGAAGAGGAGCCAAGCGACGACGGCGACGGCGCGAGGCACCACTCCTTCTTAACTCTTTAAGAACTAGAAGATCTGCTTCTCTATATAAGCACGAAGATTTTCTTTTCATTTTTTCGATGAGGGACAAAGTGCATTAGTAAAAAAAATAATTTAAACCTTTTCGTTTCCCTCCAAATCTTTTTCTTCTATTTCTCATTCACACCTCTTATCTATTTAGATAAAAATCCAACAGTATTAGTATGTGATGAATTAGTTAATGAATGCTTTACCTAGACACATACGTAGATTCCAACAAAAAAAGAAAAAATATCACCTAAAAGAATAAAGTATTAAAAAATGATAATAACAATTCGAGTGGCTCTTTCACAGATGCTTCGATGTGTAAGGTTCTTACCAATTCGGATAAGCTTCTGTCTATTTGGAAGTTAATTTGGAGCTGGTGTGGGGCCTGAAAAAAATTGAGTTTTACTTTGGTTATGTGGCAAAGGTAAAATTCGTACAAATTCAGAAAGATATTGCCGCCATCTTATTCTGGAGGGTACTTGCACGGTTTGTGGAGTAGAGAATGAATCTTTGTTGCATGTTTTGAGAGATTATATTTATACTCGGACAGTTTGGGATCGTATTTTTGCTGCAGAAGACAATTCTCGCTTTTTTGCTCCTGATCTCCATTGTTGGCTTATCGCTAATTTAATGTCTGAATCCTAGGGAGTTATGGATGAAATTTGGAGAATTTTCTATGGGTTCACCTGCTAACAAATATGAATTTGGCGCAATGATGCTTTATTCCAAAAAACAGTTATAAAAAGGTAGCAGCCATTGTTAACATGGTTAGAGCTTGTGTTAATTTTTGGCATTCGTTGAAGAAAATTGGGAATATTTCTAATAATAAGCAGGTAGTCTCGCTAGGTTAGTCACCTTCTAACGATGGGTGGATGGTCTTTGAATACAGATAGGGCCCTTCGAAGGAGTATTATGATGGGGACTGCTGACAATATTTTTCTAATAGTAGGATTGATGTATTTTCAGTTTCAGAGCTGAGCTATAGAGGGTTCTAACTGGTCTTCATAAAAAGCCTGGGACAAGGGGTGGTGTCGGGTTGCCTTGCAAATTGATAATTCTAGTGTGGTTCATGTGTTGCGGTATGGAGGGTTTGTGTCATGGTGATATTGTCAACCACATCTGTTATCTCTTGCCTAGTAACTGTGTGGTCTCTATTGCTCATATCTACAGGGAGGCTAATTCGGTAGCTGCTGGTTTAGCCAATTTGGCTTTCAGTCAAGAACTTGTCATGTTATGGGAGATGTTATTGGGATTTCACTCCCTCGCTTGATTTCTACTCTCTCTGCTTCAATCTAGATGATGTAGTTTGACTTGACACAAAAAAAAATTAATTTTTTATTTTGAAATATGTGGTCCTAAAAGTTTATGGGACAAAAGATTTATGCGGTCATAATATTTGTGTGGCTATAAAAGTTTCTCATTAAGGATAAAGTAGGTAAAATAAAAAGTTTAAAATTAAATTATTTCTAAATATAAAAATAAGTCATTCTTTTTGAATGGATTAATCAGAAAAATATGTTATTTAAATCGAAACAACAGGGAGTAACTAGTTTTGTTTTGTTGCTTTGCTTCCCTTTTGATAAACCTTGAAAAAGTGATATTCTTGCTATTACCAACTTTTTATACTACAAGTGTCTTATTAACCAATAAATTCAAGAGTAAGTATTAGTAATTTGGTTCGTAAATTTCAGTAGTAGCTGTTAATGAAATTCAAACGGGTAAGATTACAAGTGAAGGGCAAGAACAAGAGTTGATGATGTCAAACGCAATAGTGCGACTGTCCCTTTAGATGAACCAACAAACATTGGTGGAGTGCCTCCAACACTTCCGCCACATTTTGAAAACATGCATAGCCCAGAGAGACCTCTTAACTGGCAAATCTCTGCACACCCTTTACGTCAAATCACTCATTCCATCATCTACTTACCTCTCCAACCATTTCATCCTTCTCTACTCCAAGTGTGGCCTCCTTAGCACTGCTTGCAGGGCTTTCGAAGCCACGCCTGCACCCAATGTCTTCTCATTCAATGCTATCCTAAATGCTTATACCAAAGAGTCTCAGCCCCACGTTGCCCACAAACTGTTTGATAAAATTCCCCAACCAGATATTGTTTCTTACAACACCCTTCTCTCCGCTTACGCTGATCTTGGCCACACCCTGCCTGCTTTTAGACTCTTTCTCGACTTGAGGGACATGGGTCGTGGCATGGATGGGTTTACACTTTCCGCTGCTATTACTGCTGCTAATGACAATGTTGATTTCATCACTCAGCTTCATTCCTTGTCTATTTCAGCTGGGCTTATCTCTTATGCTTCTGTTAACAACACTCTCATAACGTACTATAGCAAAAATGGGCTTCTAGATTATGCTCAAAGGGTATTCGCATCAATGGATAAAATAAAAGATGAAGTTTCTTGGAACACGATGATTGTTGCTTATGGGCAGCATAGGGAAGGGACAAAGGCGTTGGCTTTGTATAAAGAAATGGAACATAGGGACTTAAATTTAGACATGTTTACTATGGCAAGTGTATTGACAGCCTTTACGTCCATGGAAGACTTGCGCGGTGGGCTTCAATTTCATGCTCGGTTAATCAAAATGGGTTTTCACGAAAACCCACACGTTGGAAGTGGTCTGATTGATCTGTACTCAAAATGTAGTGGTGGCATATCAGATTGCAAAAAAGTCTTTCGGGAAATTCCTTATCCTGACTTGGTCCTTTGGAACACAATGATTTCTGGATATTCGCAGTCTGAGTTGTGTGAAGAAGCTGTTGCTTGTTTTAGACAAATGCAGTTTGCCGGCCATCGACCTGATGATTGCAGCTTTGTTTGCGTGATTGGTGCATCTTCCAACTTGTCATCACCGTCTCAAGGGAAACAAATTCACTCTTTGACAGTCAAGTCTAGCATTACGTCCAACCGAATCTCAGTGAGCAATGCTCTCATTGCAATGTATTCTAAATCTGGAAATCTGCATGATGCAAGACTACTTTTTGATACAATGCCTGAGCATAATGCTGTCACTTTAAATTCTATGATCGCAGGCTATGCACAGCATGGGCATGGAGTGGAGTCGCTGCTACTATTTGAATGGATGCTTGAAAGAAATCTGACACCTACAAATATAACATTCATCTCTGTCCTATCTGCATGTGCACACACTGGAAAAGTCGAGGAAGGGAAGAAGTATTTTGGTTTAATGACTGACAAATTTGGGATAAAACCAGAGGTTGAGCACTATTCATGCATGATTGACCTTTTGGGTCGAGCAGGAAAGCTCGAGGAAGCAGAGAGACTAATCGAAACAATGCCATATAATCCTGGTACAATTGGCTGGGGCTCGTTACTTGGGGCATGTCGAACGCATGGTAATATAGAGCTAGCAACAAAGGCAGCTAACCAGTGTGTTCAGCTGGATCCTTCAAATGCGGCACCGTATGTCATGCTTGTACACATGAAAGCTTGTCTTGGCAGATGGGAAGAGGTAGCAGCTATTAGAAAACAAATGCGAGACAAGGGAGTCAGAAAGCAAGTGGGTTGCAGTTGGATTGAGGTGGCCAAAAGGGTTCATGTCTTTGTGGCAGAAGATAGTTCTCATCCGATGATAAACGAGGTGTATAAATTCTGGGAAGAGATGTCAAAGAAGATGAAGCAAGAAGGGTATTCTCCAGATTTGAGGTGGGCTCTGATTAGAGATGATGGAACTAGGCAGGAGGAGAAAGAGAGAAGCTTATGGCATCATAGTGAAAAGTTGGCAGTTGCTTTCGGGCTTTTATCGACCAAAGACGGTGAACCTATTCTTATCATAAAGAATTTGAGAATATGTGGTGACTGTCATAATGCAATTAAATTTCTATCTGGTATGACAGGAAGAGTGATTACAGTAAGGGATTGCCACAGGTTTCATTGCTTCAAGGGTGGGGCATGTTCTTGTGGGGATTACTGGTGATAGCTGATAAGTTATTGCAATCAGAATGCTGGTCTGATCCCAGTCAATTCATGTGATTGTCATGGGCTATGGGGAGTGAGGTTGTGAATGTTTTATAGTGTACTTTGAGTTAGCACGATGAAGTACAATTTTGTTTTTGTTTAACCAAGTGAAATTATAAGGAAAAATGAATGAAGTACTTGAAAGAGTGCACTGCATGTAGCTTTCTGTCGTTTTGGATTGGGTTATCGAGTGTCTTAATTCACTTTAATCTTATATAGTTAATGCTCTAAATGATCTTAGATCTAGCTGGAGTTACTAATCATTTGCAGCATATGTGCATAATGTGAGTAGGGGTATGAAGATGCCCACCTCTTGTTCATTCACTGCAAGGATAATTACAAGCCAACTATGGAATGTGACGTTAAATCTTAAAGAGGTGAAATGGTGCATGCCTGAAACAGCTAAAGAACCCTACAAAAGCGGGGAAAGAGGAAGCAACAAGAAGTATAGAGTTTGCAACAAAATCCTAGCAAGCATATGATGGGTTATATGGCGGAAAAGAAATCATAAAACTTTTGAAGGGAAAAGAATGTCTTGATTTAAATTTTAACAATTTAGATGTATCACTTTATTAACTTTTTGGACTAGAATCACAGACGTACAAGAAACTGAACAGTTGTATGACAAATGTCCAAGAAATTGAACAATTCCTCAACTTTCTGCATGCATGTGCAGAAATGGAACTGAGATACACAGCTCCTATGCTCATAATAGAAGGGGTTTGGTGAATTAGATCATTGTTTATACTTCCAAAATGGAGTTGTTACTTTATGTC